CTCCTCTCGTGAAGGCCGCATCCAGCATTTTAAGGCAACCGGCAGCTTGTTGGGCTCCTGGAGAAGCCCTGGAGGGGGGAGGTGAAGAGCAGGTCTCCCCTGGGCACCGAGAAACGCTTTGGACAACGGACAGAGTCGAGACACAGAGCCCTTAAATACATTTCATCTTTAATGTGGACGTGGACAGCCCCGCAAACCCCTCCCCAGCCCCTCTCTCGCCACCCCCGACACACAGAACATCTCTCCTCAGCTCAGCAGGCAAAGAAAACCAAAACGAAGGGTTTAGAGAAGTGAAACCCTGCAGAGCGACGGCCCCCGCGAACCTCCCGGCTCCAGGACCTGCTCCACACCCACCGCTGGCCCCGGCATCACGCCGGGATCTCTGGGCTTCAGCCCAAACTGGCTCCAGGATGGTGGGAAGGAGATGGGCAGGGAGCAGGAAGCCCCTTCCCCACCCTTCTCGCAACATATCAAGACCCAAAGAAAATCTTCAAGAGCAGTTTTGGGGTAGTTCTACACATTAAAACAACACCCAGGACCCTCCTAAACCCAGTGTCTCCCAACGCCCACAGCCTGCATTCAACTCAACCACTCAGAAACCCCCAGGAGGGCCCCAGGGAGCACGGGGGGAGCAGCATCACCCCCAGCACTGCACAGAGGGAGCCCCGGGGGGCTCCACACAGACAGCAGAGCCAGGTCCCCGTGTCCCCACAGCCCTGGCGGGGAGGCTTTGCCCCTATGCTCAGTCACAGAGGAGCCACTCTGCCAGCTTTTGCCTCTAAAACCAGGGCCCCCCATGAGGAAAGCCCTCTCCTCACCACCAAAGGGGCTGAGCTTCTCCAAAAGGAGCAGAATAAAAGGAAAACCTGCTTCCCAGCCGCTCTGCCTGCAGCTGCTCTCCTTCCACGCCTCAGATCCCTCTCCCACTCACCTTCAAGCTACTCTGCACATCCATCCCCAACAACCCAGACCATGGCACATGTTTCCTCCATCATGGGGGGGACTCCCACCAGGTCTCCCTGTCTCCCCACAGCAAGTCTCTCTCCTGTTTGTGCTGGAGAAAAGGATTCATCCGCAGCAAACAGCCCGCACGAGGCGGGTGCTTCCCACATCATCTCCCGAGACCAGCCCGGCCGCTCCTCCCATCACACATGATCCCAACTGGGAACACAGGGAAGGGGCTCACTAAGACCTGAATGCTTTCTTGTTAAGGCTTCAACTAGCTGCAAGAAACCAGACAGACACGCTGCCAAAAGGAAGAAAGTTAGTTAAAGAAGAAGAAAACCCAAACCCACCTCGGTGCTGGGTGGGCAGAGGCTTCGCTTCCCTATCCCAGGCTGCAAGACACAGAGGAGCCACTCTGCCAGCTTTTGCCTCTAAAACCAGGGCCCCCCATGAGGAAAGCCCTCTCCTCACCACCAAAGGGGCTGAGCTTCTCCAAAAGGAGCAGAATAAAAGGAAAACCTGCTTCCCAGCCGCTCTGCCTGCAGCTGCTCTCCTTCCACGCCTCAGATCCCTCTCCCACTCACCTTCAAGCTACTCTGCACATCCATCCCCAACAACCCAGACCATGGCACATGTTTCCTCCATCATGGGGGGGACTCCCACCAGGTCTCCCTGTCTCCCCACAGCAAGTCTCTCTCCTGTTTGTGCTGGAGAAAAGGATTCATCCGCAGCAAACAGCCCGCACGAGGCGGGTGCTTCCCACATCATCTCCCGAGACCAGCCCGGCCGCTCCTCCCATCACACATGATCCCAACTGGGAACACAGGGAAGGGGCTCACTAAGACCTGAATGCTTTCTTGTTAAGGCTTCAACTAGCTGCAAGAAACCAGACAGACACGCTGCCAAAAGGAAGAAAGTTAGTTAAAGAAGAAGAAACCCCAAACCCTCCTCGGTGCTGGGTGGGCAGAGGCTTCGCTTCCCTATCCCAGGCTGCAAACCCCTCCTCAACACCCCCTGAACAAGCAGGAAAACACAAACTGAACCCTCACAAAAGCCCCGTGGGTGGGACTGTCACATTAAACACACAACCCAGGCCAGCTTTTAAATCATCTTTAAAAAAAAAAAACAACAACAAAACAACAACCCAAACAAACCCACACACACACGCTTTGGCACACGAGCCTTAAGTTAGGTCACTGGAAACATTTCAGAGGCAGAGGAGCTGCTGGGGTTGGTTTGTTGGGGTTTTTTTTCCTTTTTTCTTTTTTTTTTCTTTTTTTCCCTATAAAAAGGAACCCAGCAGCAGTGTTGGTGAAGCATGAAGAGCGAGCACAAATGCTGACCAGTCCCTGCTCAACATTGGCACTCCCATTACTTGCCCAAAGCTGGTTACAGACACAGATATAAAAACTAACATGGACATTCCCAGTTTTCAATGTGAAAACAGTAACATGTAATCGAGTACTTGTGCATTTGCTGTAGGATCCTTAGGAAAAGGAACCATAAAAATATGGTTTTTTTAATAAAAGATTTTTCCTGTCTCTTTTTTCTTTTTTTTTGTCTTTTTTTTTTTTTACCCTTAACTTAAGTAAAGAGCAAATATACACCTATATAAGCAGAGTTCAGATCCACTTTACTGAGAGCCTGGAAGTCCGTACATCAAATTAATTCCCAGTGGTGTATCCAGACACTGGAACAACTCCCAGCTCCAAAGAGCTGGCGTTCCTGCAAGATCTGCAGCTCCAGCTCACCTCCTTAGCCAGCACGAAGCAAAGGCTCCTTCAAGCCTTCCCTGACTCAGCCAACACTCCCCCAACAGACCCTGCCAAGCAGAGCCTCAAACACAGGCCCTGGCTCCAGGAGCATCTGAGCTGCCAATGGGGACGACCAACCTGAATCCTGGTGATTTCAACCCATATCAGGCTGTAACAATGAAAATACAAGCACTGAGCTTGTATTTTCTTATTACTCAGACCACTGATTCCAGCTACTGAGAAACAGCTTCCAGAGGAGAGCCAGGAGGAACTTCAGTGATAGAGAAACTAGCTGTGCAATAAGAAAGTGCATTTAAAGGTAGCTTAAAACCAGAGTAAAGATCAAATTGCCACTCGACAGGAGGGAGAATCAAGCTCCAGCAGCCACGCTCCTTGGGCTGGGTGGGTTAACATTCAGGCTCTCTTCTCACGAGTCCCAGGGGCAGGAGAGAAGCGTGCATTCCTGTGCTCCAACAGGGACACAGTTCTCCTGGCAGGCCTTGCTCTCCTGCCCGGGTTGCTTCTGGGCGGTATCAGTCCTGGGCAGCTGTCATCGGAACTCGTAGATAGGAGCACTGTGCTCAGGGACGTGAGTTAAATTCAATGACTGATACCTGGGAGAGAGGGAAAAGGGAGGCCAGAGGGTTACCTGGAGCAACAGAATTCCTGGAGCACTAAGGGCTCCTGCTTGGCAGGTGGCACAGCAGACACCCTGGTGTCTGGCTCTCCTCTTCCCCCCTCAGGGTCTCGGAGCCCTCTCTGAGGTGTTCAGGCACCCGGCACCCACGGGGTGGTCTCCAAACCCTGTGATGACTCCGTGTTGTTCCTCATTCCCATTCCTGTGCCTCTCAGCTCCCAGGTGGGCTGACTGTGTTTTTTGGACACCTTTTGAAGTTCAGCAGCTTTCATGTTCAAACAGTGTTTGCTACTACTGCAAATTACACTTTGGGTCTTTCAAAGCTTCACTCGAGGGGATCTGTCTGAAAGCCTCTCAGGTACCTTCCTTCTCCCAAGATCTTCCAGCCACCCTATGGATTCCCTGGCTGTGCATGACCAATATCCAAGGCTGCCAGAGGGAGAAGAGCACTCCACAACTACCTGTTACATGGCTTAACAAGAAACCAACCCGTTCACTTTGACTGTTCCCTGTGTCTTACACCAACACCCCAAGGACTGTGAACTACAAAGCACCAGCCTAACAAGATTTCTGCCTGAAGGCAGCAACAGCCAAGCTGTAATATGTGAGAAAGCACCAAGATCCCTCTCAAAGGCCCCTCTGACAATCTCTGAAGGGCCAAGTTGTGGAAAAGCTCAAAGCTTGACTCCCTGAGCAAAGCATGACCCTGCACATGAGTCTTGTCCCCATGGGAGGGCAGGAGCACAGGAGCACAGGAGCCCTGTGACTGTTGGGCTGGGGACCAGGGTCCTAGAGGGAGGGACACTTGTGGTGACCCACAGTCAGTGTCTGCCCCTCCATGTACCAGACCACTCCACCTCCAAACCTCACCTCTCCCCTGCACCATGTCCCCAGCCTCATTATCCCTGGCCACATGAAAAGGGCAGCACTTGATGAAGAGGCTGACGAGCCTGCTCTGGCCACACAGGGCACACACACTCTGCCCCAAAGTCCAGCCACCAGCCTCAACCTCCTTCCCAGCCCAGAGAAGCACCACCCAGACACTCCCAAGGCTGCAGAGAAGCAGAAGAAAGAGTCACTTTGGTTGGCTTGAGGGAGGAAGGAATCTTCTTACCATTCTGAACTCCTATGGTAGTAATAGCCCTCTATAGATGCTGCTGACTTCTGGAAGCAGATGTAATAGAAACCAGCAAAGGAAGCACCACTGATGTCCTTGATAGTGTGATCTGGGACTAGGAACTGTTCCTGCACACAAAACACAGACCATATCTTTAAATGCTGGGCAAGTGCTACCCCCCCACCCCAATCTGCCCTCCCAGACCGAGTCCTGGCTCCCATGAACACAGAGGCCTTCCTGGCCGAGCACTCCCTGCACTCACAGCAGCTCAGCCCACAGACCAGGCTGTTCCTTCACCACCTGCCACTGTGGGAATCTCACAGGGAAGCAGACAACTGGGAACAAAACCAGGTTTAAAGAGTGCATGAGATCAGCTTCTGTTCAACCCCTGCAAACCAGAGGCCAACTGCAAAATCAGAGCTGCTTGGTTGCTGAAGAGAAGGCTCCAGGGAGACCTTCTTGTAGCCCTTCAGAACCCACAGAGGGCTTAGGGAAAAATGCAGAGGGACTTTTTACCCAGGCCTGTAGTTATAGGAGTGGGACTGGTTTCAAACTGCAAGAGGGGAGATTTAAGTATGACATTAGGAAGAAATTCTTCCCTGTGAGAGTGGTGAGACACTGGGCCCAGGTTGCCCAGAGAAGCTGTGGCTGCCCCATCCCTGGAAGTGTTCAAGACCAGGATAGACGGGACTTGGAGCAACCTGGTCTAGTAGGAGGTGTCCCTGTAATGCAGGGGGGTTGGATCTAGATGGTCTTTAAAGTCCTTTCCAACCCAAACCATTCTATTTCACCCCCCTTGCAGCTGCCCATGGCTCATAAGAACAGGGAGGAATCAATCCAGCTGAAGAGCAGAGAGGTTCAAATACACAGGCCCCACACAGGAATTGGACACACCAACTCTCTCCTACTCTGAAGCATCACCAAGCAAGATTTTCCTGTTGTGTTTTAAGCCATGGCTGCAGCCCTCAAGGACACAATTAGCTGGCTAGACAGGAGCCACAGTGCAGCGTGCAAGTATGCTGGGTTAGGAGGTTGGTAGGGCGAGTTGTTTCATCAGAGTAGCTGAAAAAGCTTTCAGGCCCCACCAGCCTCTGTCAGTCATTTGTAAGCAGCTCAGCAGAGAAGGAGATACGTGGAGTTTACCTTCCATCTCATGAAGACATAGTCCCCGTTTTTCAAATCCTCATAATCAAAGTCATCAGAGTTAAATGTTTTTGCATACTGGTAAAAAGCCTGGAACTTTCCCTGAAACATGAAAAGGAACAGGATGCTTATTCCAGGAGTAGAGCTCAGTCATGTCAGATGTTTTAGGAGGGAAGAACTGCTATGGAACAGGACCTCCCCACTGAAGGGGCTGCTTTTCCCTTGGACCTGTGCTAAACACTCCCCAGGACTGGCACAGGGGAGGGAACACAGGACTTCCAGACACCCAGAGCCATATCCAGCCCAGCTGGAGAAGCTCCTACAATTCCACAGTAAGATATTTTGATATAAGCACAATCAACATCCAAGCCTGGCACACACCAGCAAAGCTCAAGGCAGGGAGGTGATCAGCTGGGCTGAGATCCTGATCCAGGGAACGGTGGCAGCAACACCCCACCCCAAGCAGAGGGCTGAGGTGGCTGTGATGAGGGTACCCACATCCCTGCAACCCTCTACTGTGTGACAGCCTTCAAACCAAAAGCAGGCTGTTCTCCTGGGGAGCTCGAGAGATGAGGATTGCTCCTGCTTCCTTTCAACCCCATGGCCAGCGAGTGGAAAGCAAGACTCTCCCTTCCTTCTCCTGGATCACAGCCAAAAGGTCCCAGTGCAGAAAAGACGGAAACACCTGGAAAGGAGAGCTTTCCAGGCCCTTCTGACAGCTCTTGCACAGACACTCACCTCACCTCTAAATCAGCTGTTCAAACCCCCATTTACCCCCCAAATTCATTTACCCAGTGTTTACGATCCACATCTTCGTCAGCATCCCACTTGCGTGTTAGGAAAGGGTGTTTTTTACTGATTATTTCCCCTTCGAAGAAAGTGGTGAGGGTTGGGTACTCCTGGGAGAGAGGAACAAGAGGTCAGAAGGTTTGTCACCCAGGGACAGGAACTCAAACCCAAATGGAGGGGCACATGCTCAGCAAAAAGCAGAGGGAGCTCTGGGTGATCCAAGGCCAGCGCTCCTGTCTCTCCAAGCAGAACGCTGCCTCTTCCTGGCTCACACCTCTCACAGGATGACTCCTACACACCCACACAGCCTCCACCCTCCTATTTCAGCCTCTCCATTCACTAGGTGACACCAGAAGGAGCCGTATTGGAGATGGACTGTGGGGAATGATCCCAAGTGACTGCTCAGAGCCAGCACTGCTCCCCAACAGAGGACGCTACGAAGCCCCATGGGCTGGATTAAGCCACCCTGGAGAAGATGCTCCTCCTCAGCTGTGCTTTGGCACTGAACTAGGAGAACACAGGCAGGGAACAGCAGGCTCAGCTGGGGTAAGTGAGCTTCTCCAGGTGCTCCCAGATAAGGACAGACACCTGGTGCCTCAAAGCCAAAAGCAGTGTCACCTCTGGGAGACACTTCCCACCACCCATCCAACACCGTGGGTCCCCAGGGGTGGGTGGGGAAGGACACGTGTGAAGATCTGACTGTTGGGGTCCTGGTTTAAGTGGCAGTGCCTAAAGCTGACTGCAGCTCAGATTTGGTTCTCCCAGACCTTCAGGGATGCTCGATACACCTCCCTCCTTCAGGGCTCCCAGCATCTCTCCATCTCTCCTTGACATGCCAAGAACTGAAGCTGCTCAACTACTTCGTGGTCAGATTGTCTCCTCAATCCCTCCACTTCCCGTTTCTGGTGGCAGCTTCTCCCACCCCACCAGGGAAAAGCCTCTACACAGTACCTCTTCTTGTTTTGCAGTTAACACTCACCTCTGTAAGGCCTTTAATCTTCAAGTATCCACAGAGATAGGAGTTTTCCATGTCCACATGCTAGAAGAGAGTGCAAAGTCCAACCATAAGCAAATGCTGACTGATCCAAAGCAGTTCCTAACCCCTCCAAGGCTAATTTCAGCTTCAGCTGGTACAGACTGTTCAACTTGATCCCAATGCTCACACTGACAGCACTTCCCCATGCCTGGGAACCACTGGGAAAGCTAATTTACAGGTGCCTAGCTCATATCTGACAGTCCCCAGGCCTGACAACACCCCACCTGCTTCAAGCTCCATCACCCTCTGCCCAGAGGTCCCCACTGGGAAGCAAACCTCCCTCTCCTCCCAGAGGGAAGCAGACTCACAGCTTTCTGCAAGTGAGAGCACCCACACCTCCAGCCCCCATATTTTCCAGAAAACTGGCCCTCAGGTGCAAGAGTAAAAAACATCTATTTAATGCAGATAATTCAGGCTAGAGGAAGAAAACAAGGCCCTGAGCTTTGCTGTCTGCTTATCTACCTGCTCTGACCCACTACCTGCTCTCTGCCCAGTCCCTGGCACAGTGCACACCAAAGCCTGCTCAGAAGCCAGATGATGTCTCATTTATTTTGGAAGACATCCTTTCTGGCCAACCCAGTGCTTTTACCTCGCCCTGCTTTGGATCTACAGGGCTGCATTTTGCTGCTTCTACTTCCAAGAACTAGGCAGGAGCTGCATTTGTTCTCAACACCTTTAAAACCAGGGAATTTTCCAAGCTTCCTCCCTCCCCCTTGATACCTCCAGCTCAGTTTTCCAAGCAAGAAGTGAGTTATGTGGGGAACTGCAAACACCAACTGTGAGAAGATGGATCTTCCCCACCTGTGATCAGGGCAGCAGCCACCTCTCCTCAGCTGACGCACACAAAACAGCAGCGTTTTTAGTACAAAGCCACAGCCCCTTCCAGAAGTGCAGTGAGGCTGATCTGCCATGGGATGTCCCCACCACGGTAAACTCTGCCAGGTCCCTCCTGCTGTGAGGAGGGGAAGACCCTCCGAAAAAACAGCCTAAACTGGTTCAAACACTGCCCCATCTACTGACCCCGGGGCTCTCACGCTGCCCCAAAAAGCTGGGATGTGCATTCAGCTTCACCACTGAGCTTGCCACGTGTCCAGCCACTGCCCCCCAGATCCCTGTGCCACCAAACTGGGAACAAAGCTGTGACTTGCAGGGTACTCTCCTAGGGAAAGGGTGTCCCAGATGTCTCTGATGAGCTGATGACTCCACACCTCACCAGCTCTGCCCAAAGCCATCCTGCCAATGCCCAGGACTAAAAATAAAGCACACGGGGTGACCAAGACTGCAGGGAGGAATGGGAAAGCCACAGAAGTTGGTGTCTCCAGCACAGCTGGGCACTACAGCCGCATCCCTGCCACAGATGAACCACCACGGGAGGAGCCTCCAACCCTCCAGGGACAGGGAACCCTGGCTCCCAGGTCCACGCTGTGCCAGCCAGGGACTGGGACCTGGATCTCTACTGATTTCCAGCCAGGCCTGAAATACAGGCTGCCCCACTGGCTGGGACTGCCCAGGACAACACCCACTCTAAACCAGGCTCTCATCCTTCCACCCCATGGCCCAGAGAAGCACACAGAGACACGGCCACCCCGGAGCCTGAAGGGAATGCAGGATGGATACCAAATTAGAAACCTTGCCAGGGTTGAGGGGAATGGGGCAAAGAGATGCAGGTGAAAGGCTTGAGTGTCATGGGTCCTCCTCAGGGCTGGAGGGGAGGTGGCCCTGAAGAAAAGGGGGTCTCTTGGGAACCTAAGGGGAACAGGAAAGGGTCTTTTCCCCTGATCCCGGGGAGACAGAAATCTCTCCAGAGTCTGAGGACTCACAGCCGTTAGTGGGTTTGATGGGACCAGGAGAATGTCAGCCAGGTGAGAGGGCAGAAGGGCAGGGAGGACCAAGGGCCTGTCCAGGCCTAAGGGGAAGGGACAACCCGAGACCTCTGCCCCTCTGGACCCTCTCACTGGAGTCGAGAGCTGCCTCCAGCCCACACAGCCCACCCCAGCTCAGGGTGCCTGCTCCGCCAGCAGGGTGAGGGGACACACACACAGCATCTGCGTTCTGAGGAACCCGCGGGAGGGCGGACCCTGACCCGGGCCGGGAGTGCGGCCACCGGGGCCCGAGGGAAGCGGGGCTGGGGAGGAAAAAAAGGCAGCTGGGGCTGGCGGGACGGAAAACAGGACGGCGGGGAGGGAGAGAAGGGAGAGGGGCGGCCGCGGCCTGAGGCACCGGCCGGGCGGCAACGGCCCCGGGGCAGCGGCAGGGCCTGGGGCGGGGGCAGCGGGCTG